CCCCTCGGGGGGCCCCCGGGGCCCCCAGGTCCGGCGGCCGCCCCCAGCCTCCCCTACCCAACCCAGGGTGACCTGCCGCACATCCAAGGGTGTGTGGCATAGATGATACCCAAAGACAAGCAGCATCAGCACAAGGTGTGCCACTGCTTATTGTCCCCGGGAAAACAAATGTCCACATTCATGTAGACGCGGCCTCTGAGATTAAAAATGTTCTTAAAAGCTGTGTAACTGTTGTCAAACTCCTAGAATGTCCAATACAAACACTATCTACAATTTTACATTTATATAGCTCCTTTAACTTCAAGGTTCCCAACAAGCCCCAAGAAACTATATTTATATAAATACACATTTCTCCTCACAACACTGAAATACAAGATTTTCTCAGGTTGCAGTAGTTATTTAGCAACACAATACAATTGTTTGGATCAAAAAAGTATATTGACTGATTCCAATTAAAGTGGCATTGAGTACAAATGTACTCGGAATTAAACTACTGAATTTTAAATTCAGCTAGATTTTAGTATTTTCACTCCTATTCTTGGTCATTAAAAAACAGTTGCATTTACATAGGTTTTAAGTCTTTCCACAAAGATGGCACCTACCAACCCAGTATGCTCTCTGCTGCTTAACAACTTGCTGGAGTGCTAATTTCCAAAGTGTTAATACCTGTTAAATCATTTTTGGCATACCTGGGTTTTCTTTCAAGAACTACGAAGACTCAAATATGTTCAGAGATCTGATACCATCACAGCTCATCGCAGTATGGATATAGTTATATTTATCTTACAAGCTGCCCTGCCAACATAACTGATACTTAGCAAAATAAATTGTAAGATACCCAGAACACGATGCTTTGTTCTCTGATAGTGGCTCTTTCTTCTCTAGGATTTTTCTTAGGTTTTCTTCCAATGACTTTTCTCTTTCACCTTTTGGTGCTTCTTCCCAATTAGCAGCAACTTTTTCCATTTTAACTGGCTTTTGATCTAACACCGATCTCTCAGCACCTTCATGTGTTCTCCTCCAAAGTGGTTTTATTTCAGTGTCTTCACCAGGCTTTTGAAAACTGCAACTTAAAGAGCTATGAGTTGGTAGTCTGAAAGAGGACTTCTGCAGACCGTAGTCTTTATCCCTACTACAAGATGACCAGTTTTCCTCAGAAGGCTTCAAAAATCTACATTTCAAATCGTTTAGAGCAGAACTCTTCTCTTGATTTTGTTTTTGGTCACAACGTTTCACTGCTTTGGAAACATGGTCTCTTAACTCAGAGTCTGTGCTACTATGTCTAGATTCTTGTTCTTCTCTTGACCTGTCCTTTCTGTAACTTCTGTCTTCATGTGAGTATACTTTATATTTCTCTCTTGTGTATCCCTTACACGTATCCATGTCACCTTCATCATGTCCTTCTCTTATGAGTTGGCGTCCTCTTTTTTTCTGCTCATTCTCTGAATAATCATATTTCCCCCATCTTCCTCTTCTATCATTTTCCTTTTTTGATGTGACTTTTTCAGCTTTTTCCATTCTTGACTGAAATATCTCCACTGACTACAAAAAAGAAAGGAAAAATAAGTTATTTTAAAGGTATGCCCATATCAGAGAGAACAACAAAGAATTAACAGATATAATGCATTGATATTACTGACAAAAGATTCTTTGGGAATGCCAAGCAAGTCTATGTGATATTTATTTCACATAAAAAAATCAAGGACTAACATAATCTATTATCTATGCTGCTTCCTTAAGATATGTTCCATGTGATATTACTAATGGAATATTAGTAATATCACATGGAACATATCTTAAGAAAGCAACATAGATAATAGAAAAATCAAGGAATAACACAATCAACACTATTTCTACCCATATGAAAACCCAAAGTCTGATCAGAGTCAAGGAAATGTCAGTATTCTAGAAACTGCCAGATTAGCTCATCACAGCCTTCTCAATGATGCTTTCTAAAAGAACAGAGAAAGAAATCTGAGATAGGTGTAGCAGCTGGCAGCAAGCATAAAAAAACCCAGAATCATTGGCTTCTTGATAATGGATTTAAAGTAATTGAGTTTTTCAGAATCTCTGGCTCGTACTGTTATCGCTTCCAACAACTGCCCTTAGTACTTCTCCCCTAACCCTCTCTAGTTAAGTAAAACAGAAATCTAATTTGCAAGCTAGAATCTCAGACAGCATCACTAACTGAAATTTAAATATAAAAGATTCAGCATTTGCTCCATCAAAATATCATGTTTGTGGCTCATGTCAAATATTATCTAACTATTGTGGTCTACTGCCAAATGATTTTGAAGAAAATGGCATTTTAATCAAGATCAGTTTTGACAACTGCTCATAGCTTTAACATTCATGGTAAACCTGGACTGAGCAGAGTACAAGTGAATGGGAAACAACCTACACATTAAAACGTAACTTATCACATAACGTTCCAACTTGCAATATGGCATCACCACTAAGAACTGTGTATGTATGCTTGCATAAAGTTGAGAGAAATCTTTGTTACACATATATTAAAATTTTGGAAAGTGATCAGATCCTATGATGATGATAGTCATGTAAGAACTTCACCAGAGATAAAAATAGGCAGAAGCATCTAACAAAATAGGGTGTTACCTATAAAAGCTTGCAGTGTTGCCTATAGAAACTCATGCCACCCTGAACCAGTCAGTCTCTAAGATGTCAGCCTGCCCTGCCTTCTGCTTGATGTCTTCAGACTAACTCAACATACCAACTAAATCTGTGCTTAGAAAGAAAGAAAAAACATTTGCAAGATGTTCTAGTATCCCACAGAGGGAAAATATTGCTTGCAAAATCTTATAATTAAAAATAAAATCTGATAGCATTAACACTTTCATCACGTGATGGAAGTTTCAAGAACTTGTTTTCTCAAAACCATCATTATATACCCTAGAACAATGGAAACCAAGCTTTTTGGCAGGAGTTCCACAAATCAGTCATTCATTGTCCATGAGTGCCATTCCAATCCCCTCCCCTGTCCAATCTGCTGCTCTGCTTCCTGCTGCCTGATCCGCTTCTCTACCTCCTGATCCCTGCCCCATCTACCATTGTGCTGCCTGTCCCCTCCCTGATCTGCTGTGTGAAGCTTCCTGTGCAACTTCCTATGGCACTTGTGCCACAGGTTGACCATCCCTGCCTTAGGAAGTACAATAAATTTGTATGCCTTTACAGGAAAGTGACTTTTTCCAAATGCATAAAAACTTGAAGAGGAGATGTCACTTAAATATACTTACACCATATCGTTCAGTAATAATTTCCTCAAAATTGCGATTCTCTCTTTCAGCCTGCTCTTTCATCCTTTGGTATGATTTTTGTAGCCAACTTAAGCCACCATCTTCTACTGCAGTAACTAGAGAACAAAAAAATTACATGCAATTTTTTTTATATTTCTGGTATATGTTGTGTGGGACATGGAACCTCAATTTAGCTCAACAAGACCTATCTTATACACTTTTATAGATTACTTCAGCTTTCTAGTTTCATCTTCTTGTACTTCATTCTCCAGCTTTTTCTTTAAAAAAATAAGCAACATTTTCTTACATTTTTCCTATCCTGTCCTATGTGAAACAGAAAACAGGTAAATCTTTGTCAATACCTGCAGCAAATAATTCTTCTTAAAATTCAGATTAGATTAATTCAAAAATAGGATCAGGGTTTTGATGGAGAATGTTCTTGGTTTCTCCACCAGAGCAATCAGGAATACATGGAAGTACAAGGATAAATGTAGATGCTGCTCACCTAGAGTGTATGCACAATGTAAAACAAGGAATCATTCAGATTAGTAGTAATTGATGAAACAGAATTAAACTGTTTCACTAGCTGACTGGAAAGGTAGGGAGTTTGCATTGCTTAAAAATGTCATATGTGAACTGAGAGGAACAGAGAATGCACATGATGGAGCAGGGGTTTAGGTTGTAGCCATGTTGGTTTAAGGACATAGGCAGACAAGGTTCTTTGGGTGAATATGATATCTTTTATTAGATCAACTTAAATAGTTGGAAAAAAAAATTCTTAGCAAGCTTTCAGATTTAAAAACCCTTCATCAGACATACTAACTGCAGATGCTTCCTCAACCTCACGAAGGGTTTTTAAACCAGAAAGCTTGCTAAGAAATTTTTTTTCCAACTATTTAAGTTGATCTAATAAAAGATATCAGATTCACCCAAAGAACCTAGTCTGTAATGAAGCAAGTATTCTTGGGACAGATATTTATACAATCAGTGTTTCATACACAAGGTAATTTGTAGAACAAATGTAAGGGGGACATACCATTCTGAGGATCTTACAACTTAATTTTACATATGAAGCAATGAGCAAGAACAACATACCATGGAAAGGTGAAAGTGCAATATTTACAATGATAAGATTATATAATTTAATTGTTGTGTGCATTTTGATGGTATAGTTTATTTCCTTTAATCTTGCCTATTTTATTATATCTATATATAATAAGTATGTTTGCAAGATGGAGCAGTACAGGAGTAGTATATTTTATACATTTATGAATTTTCATTTTCTTTTCTTCATTCCCTTTCCTGGTTCTGTTCTTTGCCACATGCCTTATACACAAGACAAACTCCCTTTTCTGCAAAAACAAAATCAGTTACTAATAGTTTTTGGCTGGGGACATTAGCAGATCTCCCAAAATTCTGCAGGCACGTACCCTGCTGCTCTTCACCTCCCAGGGATAATATATCCCAGGGCAATCCTGTCCATATAACTGCTTACATAAGGGCTCTCCTACTCCTCCATGCCTACAGAATTCAAGGGGCCACTTTGCATATTTATAAATGGTGCGTGACATTGTGACTGCATTTTCTATCTTCACTTCATGGAAACAAGAAAGGATAACCCTAGGGTAAGGACTGAAGTGAAAAGGTTATAGAAATAATATTTTTTTCACAAAATGCATCCGTAATGTACTTCATTTAAATGTGACTCACAAAATTCTGTAGCTGAATATTTTAAAACTGTAATTTGTGTAATGGAATGAAAGGAACTAAATGAGATGTCAACAATTTATCATGTCCTAGGAGAATCATGCTTTCCTTTAATTAGTTCAAAATGGTGAATTTCTGTTTAGATACTAAAGGTCAAACCACTCAAGATCATAAACCAGTCAAGAAATATTCTGCAAAACAACTTTACTATGATTTTAACCCATTATTTGTCATCAAATCCATATCCATTTTTTTTTTTACTTACACATCTTTATTATATGTTATTGAATATTCTCTTATCCTGACCTTGTAACAACCACAAAAAAAAATATCACTAGTAGGGGTGAACCAATAAAGATTTTTTGGGTCGATACCAATCGCCAATTACTGAGCAGCCATATCAGCCAATACCAATCTGATTGCCAATATGCAGCCCGGCAGCTTGGAAAGCAGTGTCCAGCTGGTAAGTCTGTTGTGGGGAAGTAGCATGGGTGTCAGGGGGGGGAAGAGTACAGAGGCCACCACGATGAGGGCAGGAGTGGGGTCGGGGCTGGGGCATGTGCTGCCCAGGCAGGGCGGGGCAGGGCACAGGACAGAGCCACAGGTGACTTGTCCGGGAAGCACAGAGGCCCGGGTGGAGCAGTTCCCGGGACTGCACACACCCCGGGGAGAGGTATGGGAGGCATGTGCTCCCTCCCCCGCACCAGGACCAGGAAGAGGCTGGCGCAGCCCTGGCCATAAGCACGCAGCGGACAGCCTGCCTTCACACTGCGCACAAACCTGGGGGCCACAAGCCCCCCCGTCTCCCCCAGAGGTGCATGCAGCAGCAGGAGCTCACCCCCACCCCCACCTCTTGGACAAGCCACCTGCGGCTCTGTCCCACACCTGCCCTGGCTGGGCAGCACCTACCCCTGCCCCAGCCCCATATCCTCCCGCACTGTGGGGGCCTCAATCTGCCCCTCCCCATTCCCCTTCCTTCTCCTACACACTTTCCTCCCCCACAGACTTAACTGCTGGATGTGGCTCTCCAAAACGCTAGGCTGCATTCCTGACAGTGCGTTTGCTGCGGCTCTGCGCGTGCATGCAGCATTTATCAGTGACATTATCAGCTACATCAGCCAAAAAAAAGCCTATTACCAATAATGTCAATTTTCCTTTTATCAGTGTTGATATGATATGGACCAATGTATCGATGCACCTCTAATCACTAGGGTTTGGATAAAGATAAGAGATACAGATCAACTTTTATTATTAAAGTTCGCTTTTACCTTTTCTTACTGAAGCTGCTTCTCCCTCTTCTGGTGGCAAGCCTGTACCACCATCTTTCCAGTAGGGGTTCAGCTCTCTTTCAGAAAGTTGGGACTGTAACAGAAACAAATTTTGTCTGCATAATATTTTTTGTACAAAGACTTCACTCTACCAATTGTTAATATGTTGTTAGTTATTCTATGAGACCTGCCTATGAACATATGAATTTACCCAAGTGACACTCTAATAGACATGACACTGTAATTTTAAGTAAGTTTGGCAGGACACTGCAGATTACAATTTTTAAAAAAATATCTAGATTCCTTAAAGAGTGTCTGGTAAAGAAACAGCTAAAATTATTCACAAAAAGTAAATATATGGTATCTTGATGAAGTAGTGATCGTTTTGATACTCAATAGCACTGTACATCAATTGCTACACTATTCTCCTCCAAGAAAATCTCTCCAAGACTGCTTAACTGCAAAAGAGCATACTTTCAAAATGACATAATATTAAATAAGAATTGTACAGATTTCCCTCGATTTATGTGGTAGATCAGTTTCCGGAAAACTGTGCATAAGCTAAATTTGCATAAAGGGAACCCAGTTTATAATGTAACAAATAGGGATATGTTCCCACAGTGGTGAGGGAGGGAGGGAGTGAGGCTGGGGCTATGGAAGGGGTGGGGAGAGGGGCATGGCATAGTCCAGTGGCTGCAAGCAGGTGGCATCAGCCATTCCCAGGGCTCCAGCAGGGGCTGGGGACAGCAGTGGCACCAATCTCTTTCCAGTGCTCAGGGCTGGCAGCAGCCTGCTCTCATCCTGCAAGAGCAGGCTGAGGCTGGCCGCAGCACCAGACTCTTTCCAGCACTGGGGGGGGGGCGGCAGCCAGCAGTAGGGTAAGAGCAGGCTGGGGCCAGTGGCCAGTGCAGGCTGGGGCCAGTGGCAGCACTGGGCTCTTCCTGGTGCTCAGGGTCGGCCGCAGCAATGGGAGGGGGTCTGCTGCCACCCCAAAATTCACTGTAATCCCCGCCCCCAACCTGCCCTCCCAGTGCCACCACCAAGTGCTAGGAAGACCCTGGTACCGCCACTGGCCCCAGCCTGCAGCAGCCACTGACCCCAATCTGCAGCAGGATGAGAGCAGGCTGCCGCCAGCCCTGAGCACCAGGAAGAACCCAGTGCCATTGCCGGCCCCAGTCTACAGCAGCAGCCTGCTCTCATCCTGCATGCAGAGCTCGACACAGTCCCCCCCAGCCTGCAGCCCTCCTGGGGTGCGCGTAGCAGCAAGAGCCGCACTTCCTCCCCATCCCATGCCCAGCACCCACTCACAGGTTCCTCTGCTTTGCTCCCTGCTGCAGCCCCAGGAGCAGCCGATAGGCTGTGCCACACACCTCCCCCTGCAGACTTATCTCACCATGCTCCAGGCCTCTGCTCCTCCCCACTCACCCCAGCCCCTGCTGCAGCAGCTCCAGGAGCAGCTGACACCACCTGCCTGCACCATGGCACAGCGCAACCCAGTGGGGTGAGCAGGGACAAGCGGAGTCCCAGAGCCGATCACATAAGAGTGAATTTGCCTCGTATATAAATAATCTGGGGTATAACAAGGGTCATTGCATAAGAATGAATTTGTATATATAAAACCCACATAAATCAAGGGAAACCTATAATATTCCACTGCATTGCTTTCGCACAGAACTAAAGAATCTGAAAAGAGGTAAATGAAGATCTCAATTCTTTGGGTTGCTTCCACTTACCTATCTTTAAATAACTGATGTAAAAATCCATCAGCACATGTGTCAGTCTAAAAATTACAGGGATATAGCAAGAGAGATAATATAAAATGTCTCTCTATTTCTAACCAAAAGCAGCAGGGGTCAGATTTTCATGATTAAACCTCCAGGAACCAACAGAATTTTTGTCAATTTATTTAAAGTTAAAATAATTAATAGTAAAAAGGGCAGCTCTGGAAGAAGGGTTTAAGGATGCTAACATTCAACTCACAAATTAAGAGTAAGAAAAAGAGGCAACAGAAGTAACCAGAAGCACTTGGATGGCAGCCATTATAATTATATTTGCAAAAGTTTGCTTCTGAAACTGTTTTTCAAAAGTTTGGGAGGGCAGGGTAGGGCTGTTTTTAAAGGGAAAGACGTTTTCACAAGGTAAATTCTCTGGAGATTGTGAGCAGAAACTCCAGCTATTTTCTGTTTTATACAGTCAATTTAATCCAATCTTCTTTCCAAATCACAAGGTGTGCAAGGCACAAGTCAGCCATCAACCAAGCCGACCCTGACCCTGCAAGGTTGATGCCATCCCACTGGGTTAAATAACCCTTCCCTTTGCTTTGGGGATGTCAAAAGGGTGGCTTGTTTGCAAAGCCTGTTATTCAACACTCTCAGAGCAGGGCCAAAACATGTCCTTATTCCCACCAACACTATTTGTGGCTACTGGTGAACCTGCCTGCTTAAGATGTTTAACATTTGTTATTGTATCAGACCATATACTCTGAATATCTGATACAGGAAATGACTCCAAAAGCTATTAACTTCCTTTGGATAGACTTGTTGCTGTTCCACAACTCTGATCTATATGGGAGAATGCTTAATCCATTGCTATTAAGGATTCACTACATAGAGCTAATGATACTAGATTTCCATTTTGGAGTGAGCTTTTGAAAAAAAAGTTCCTGCCTTATTCACTCAAGTTATTATAACAAAAACTTAGTTGCCAGATATGGGAGGTGGTGCCTTGATATGCAAATTCATTAACAGTATTCAACTCCATCTACAAACAATGGAATCATCTGAGGTCATACAGACTTTCAAAACCTTCAACTTCCTTATTACAGACCTTGTTATTTAGCAAGCCTACTGAATTTTTTTTCCTTACATTCTGTTAATCAGGAGGCAGGTATCACCGCCACACACCAACTTTACAAACACCATTCATTCATGGAATATTGATTTTTATGCCAGAGGTCTGTTGAATAGCAAAAATCAATGACAACAAAGAAGAGGCTACACCCTTGTCCAACCCTCATAACAGCACCAAAATTGTCAATTATTCCAGGTTGAAAATTGCAGCATATCAGAGAATGGCAATTGTGGCTTCTTGATAAACGTTTCAGAAAACATGGATAATATTACAAGGGAATCCACGTATTTCCAGTGCTTGCCATTGCCACAGGGACCCTCAATCTACATGGTAAAAACCAACAAAATGTGAATGAAACTTAAGATTAATAGCTAGTATTCACTGCTTTGTTTAACAGTACTGAAGACTTGCTGTTGCTTCTTGGCACTATGCACACTGTTCAATGGTCCAAAAGAGAGAGTTCCTAGGACAGGTATCATTATGAGCCCTCACCAATTGTTAGTCACTTAAAACTGTTAGGCAATTTTATGGCTATTCTTTTCTTCCATACTTTCAGAGCTGGATTCTGTAGTCCGTGCTTAGCAGAAAAATCACAGCAGCATTTTCATGTTCTCTTTGCTGCTTACTTTACGTAGATCTGCAGTTATTTTACCTGGGTCCACTGACTTGTAGGTTTAGATGATGGGATCAAGGGCATGCTTTGCTAATTTGTGAATGACACCGAGTTGGGTGGAGTTGCGGGTACTACAGAGTGTAGGGCTAGGATACAGAATGATCTGGATAGACTACGAAAATGGTCCACAATCAACCAGGTGAGATTCAACAAGTTTGTTTCTTTTTGTTTGTTAATTTCCTCTTTCCCAATCAAAAATGTTGAGGAGATGTCAATGGGACCTGGTGGTAGTAGTCATATTTTATTTACTGCTTTTAACAAAAGAATACAACAAAATGAACAATAAAGTTTATATTATATATATGCTTTGAGCAACATTTGAGATTGTACATTCTACCACTTTAACAAAATAAAACAGAACATTTTATATAAAGAACAGATAAAATATGCACATAATTGTTTGACTACAACCTCAGTAGTAAAATTAATGCTTCATTAAGAATTTTACCCTAAACTACCACCATGTAATTTAACAGTCTGTTTTCAAAATCTGGTAAATTGCCAAATAAAGATCAGGGATCATAGCATAAGCTGTTCTTAGCATGATTACTGTATTTACTCAAATCTAAGATGAAATTCCCTCTCCCCCACCCTGCACAACATAGAGGGAGGGGGAAGCCTCATCTTGGATTCGAATACTTGCTGGCTGGTAGCTGCTGTTGCCCCGTCCCTGGCCCCAGCACCATGCCACCACCTACACCAGGCCAGTCTGGCTCATGTTGTGGGGGAGGGGGTACACGACAGGGGGAGCACAATGGAAGCATAGTGTGGCTCATGTTGTAGGAGTGGGGGGAGGTGGCACCTAAGGGAACACCAGATGGGAGGGAAGGCATGTGGGGAGCACATTGTGGGGAGCATGGGAGAAGATACACAGAGAAGATCACATGGTGGGGGGCAAGGGAGTTGTGCAGGGGAAATCACATAGCCTGTCCCCTTCCCATTTGGCTCTGGCTCCAGCCCAACCTAGCCCAGAGCTGCCATTGCTGCTTCTGCATGGCTGGGGCAGTTCAGGGCTACCATCAACTGCCCTGGAGATAGAGCCACTACAGAAGGTAAGTGGAGGTAGGGCAAGGGGCCAGGGGGCCAGGGGCAGAGGGGAAAGGGTCTAGCTATCTGCCCGCCTACTGCTGCTTTCCCTTCTGCAGCAGTGGACAAGGGAAATTTAAAATAACCTCCCAATAATTATAATTATTATAACTATAAAAAGTATAAGACGTGTATTACTTTCCATAGAATTTAGTTATTGCAGGGTCATCTTAAATGCAACGTCATCTTGGAATCAGGTAAATATAGTACGTCGCTTAGGGACAACTGCATGATGCAGCAACCAGACTGAGTAATTTTACAGGTTAACTAAAACTAATTAAGCAACTGAGTAAATCTGGCTTGTGCATGCCTCATCCTGCACAGCTTCAGCATCATGGGTTTGTACTTGTATAACTATCATGAATGGTGCGTGCCCCCGGCAGCTGGGGGAGCATGGCTGCACTGGCAGCCGCAGGAGCACAGTGGCGGTAAGCTGGGAGCTCCCACAGATGCCACTGGCACTATCGGCAGCAGGAGTGGGGTGTGGGGGGCAGGGGTTGGCGACCAACCACAGGTGCTGCTGGCAATAGCGGCAGCAGCCAGTGGCGATTGTGGACCACCCACAGAGTCACCTTTTTGTAGGGGGTACACTGCCACACTCTGGGGGTGCACATGCACCTGCATGCATCCCCACGCGTCACCCCTGATAAATACTTTGGTAGAAATTTCCCTTAGATAGTAAAATTATTTTTAAAAAACCCTACAAATAGAAATGCTTAATAGTAATGGTCAGTATACAACAATTTAAGATCTAATCTACCTGCAGATTAAGATCACATTTCCTATGTACAAGACTAGTATTAAAATACATATTTGCAGAGACTTGATAGAAACAATTCAAAGAACATGAACACCCTAAGGAAGAAATTTAAAATGTTACTGTACTATATATGCTATTTGCTTGTGGCATGTTCTATTACAGGGGTTGTCAGCCGGGAGTACGCATATCCCTGCGGGTACCTGGGAAGGCCTCAGGGGGTATGAGGCAGTACTTCAAAATCGGCAGCAAAGGGGGTGGGGCTGCTGCTGTGTGCCACTTTCCCGTGCCCAGATACTTCCGCTTTTCCGCACCGCCTATAGGCAGTGGAAGTGGGGGGATAACGGGGCTTATCCCCCCCAAAAGCAAGGCAGTGGTAGGGTTGCAAGGCAGCCCAGCCACGAGTTTCCAACAGCTGCAGCAGAGGTGGGGAGGGGCGCATGCACAGCAGTGACAGATGAAGTGGGTCTAGGGGGCTGGAGCTAAGGCAGGCACTCGGGGCAGAGCACGAGACTGAGCCGCAAGTGGCTTGTCCAGGGGACATGGCTCCTGCTGCTACATGTACGCCAGGAGGCATGAGAGTGGGGTGGGGAGAGAGTGCTCCCAGAAGTGCAGAGGGCAGGCTGGGGCCAGGGCTGTACTGGGCTCTTCCCAGGAGGGAGGACACTGCTGAGAGGGGAGCAGCAGAGCTGGGAGAGGGCTGCAGCCACCCCAAGATTCACCATAGCCCACCTGACCCCCCACCCAGAGTGCAGCACACCTGAACCACCACCCTCGCTGGAAGAGCCTGGAGCTGCCCCAGCCACAGCCTGCAGCAGCAGCCCATCCTGCCCCGTGCAGATCTGGGGACAAACACCCCCCCGTACCTCCCGGGACACATGCAGCAATGGGAGCCACCACCCCTCCCTGCACCCCCGGATTTGTTGGTGCGGGGGTGGGGCCAGCACTGGGCAATGACCCCAGGTGCAGGGGAAGGGATGGGCACAGCATGCCCCAACCCTGGCTGAACCCAACTCCCTGCCTACCCCTGCCAGGTCCTAGCTCAGCCTCTCCCCCACCCCCTCCGAGGCCCTTCCCCACCCCACAGACCTTCCTGCGGTCTGCCATAAGCACCCCCCCTGCCGATGCCCTGCCAGAAGGGGATACAGTCCACAAAGGGTACACCCCTTAAAAAAGGCGCAGAGGAGAGCCACACACATGATCAGAGGTCAAGAAAACAGACCTTATGAAAAGAGGCTGAGAGCCATGGGACTCTTCAGCCTGGAAAAGTGCAGGCTCAGGGGTGATCTGGTGGCCACCTATAAGTTTATAAGGGGCGCTCATCAGGATCTGGGAGAACATCTGTTCACCAGAGCACCCCAAGGGATGACAAGGTCAAACGGTCACAAACTCTTCCATGACCGTTTCAGGCTGGACATGAAGAACTTCTTTACTGTCTGAGCCCCCAAGGTTTGGAATAGACTGCTGCCAGAGGTGGTTCAAGCAACGCCTTCAAGAGACATTTGGATGTTTATCTTGCTGGGATCCTATGATCCCTGCTGACTTCCTGCCCCTGGGGAGGGAGATGGACTCGATGATCTTCCGAGGTGTCTTCCAGCCCTAATGTCTATGAAATCTAAGGTTGAAAACCCCTGCTCTATTAACATATGCCTATGCTTTGAATTAGCTCACAGCTTGTCTTTAAAGGAGAAAATCCACTTATTTCCACAACAAAGAGAAAACCGGGATCCCTGTGTATAACCAATAGTCACCAATATAAAATGACCATCATGAGTACACTATTTTAAGAACCCAATGGGCATCTATACATGTGCTCCGGGGTGGGGATAGGGGAGGCCTTTAATTACAGCAGCTCTGAGAGTTGCTTTAATTGAAGTGCTTCAAAATTGCAGCAGGGACACTTTAACAAAAGTTCGTTGAACGAGCTTTAAAGTGCCCCCCCCCAACTATTTTGAAACAGGGTCGCTGAATACACATGACGTGGAAGCTACTGGAGCGCACTAATTAGTACATTCCAGCAGACTTACAGTATACTCAATCAATTGAGTCTGCTCTGACACGTGCCAATTAGCACACATCAGAGCAGAGATCATCACATGTATAGGTGTTCACCCTTCTTTGTCATGTCCCCGTGACAAAGTATTTAGCAGAATTTGCAGATTCACTGACAGGGCCGTGCCATGAGCGCATCTGCTATAACCCTGAAGTTGCAACCTCTAAGCTGTCAACAATGCGCTTTAACACCCATAGCACCGCAGCCCCCAATACAATGTGAGAAACATATCAGAAAAAACAAGACGTGCCCAACTAATCTATATACTATATTAGTAAAATTTCCTCGTACCTGTTCAATTTCCCGAGCTTTCTCTTGCTCCAGTATTTTTTCTTTCTGTTTTTCAGCTTTGAGTGCTGCTACCGATGTGGTTTTCATAGCCATAAAATCAAAGGTCATCCACTCATCTCTCTGTTTCATGCAAAACAAAATAAAACCCATGCTCCATTACATTTAATAGATATATATGGGTTAACTATTAACTAAGAATTAAAAATATATATTTGCAATATACAATAGAGATTTCACGCTTCTAGGTCTTAAAAATAAGTTGTACATAAAACACTATTGATTGTAACATCTTTAATCATTGCTGGCTTTTTGGTTGTAGACGCGTTGGTCTAAGGACATAGGCAGGCAACAAGAGAAAAGAAAGAGGAAGGGCGGGTGGGGGGGGAAGGGTATGTCACGGGATGGGGTCCCCAGGGATGGCCATGACGCCCCTAGGGCTCCATGACCGTCCCAATCTTGCTCAACGGGCACCCTTTTCCTCACCTGCCACGTCTTGTTGGTAATTATAATAAAAAGGGAGGCTGCCCTTGAGTTTGTCTTTGGACTCGATCCTGATGGACCCAATGAATGAGTTAGACGCGGGAGCGGCGACAGACGCGCGGGTGAAAGCCTGCTGCTTCCCCGCTCCCCCGAAGCCCCCCAGAGACCCTCCAGCAGCCGCAGAGCCCCCCGCTGACCCCCAGCACAGCCGGAGGTAAGCAGGGCCCTTGAAGAGAGAGGGATAACCCCTTAGTGTGTGTGTGGGAGGAGGCGGCTGAGTGGAGCCGGGCCGGGTCAAGCCCGGCCAGGCCCCTACTTGGCCCAGTACCCCAGGGAGAGAGAGAGGTGGGGAGGGGGTACTCACCTGTCCCCCTCCAGTAGGGCAGGGTCCCCCAATCCCGGGCAGGGCCCCCTTTTGCCCAAGAGCGGCTTCCCCGACGGCAGGCCCACTGCGCATGAGCGCAGTTTTAAAGGGCCCGCCGACAGGGAAAAAGCCCCAGTTAGACACGGAAGCGGCGAGAGACGCAAGGGGGAAAGCCTGCTGCGCCCCCGCTC